TATGATCCAAGTCCATTATGACTCATGGAGCAGATGTAACTCCATGGTTCCGAAGGGGAATCTTGTTTCCTGTCATTTCCTTCTCTTGGAATGGGGAAAGGACATCTGCCCCAATGCTCACAGTACCAGAGATGCATGACAAGAGTTTTATCCTAAGCCAGGATGTGCGTAGGGGCAGCAGGTGGACAGCTTGGCTTGGTTGCCCTTGGTTGCCCCTTCAATGGGGAGATGCACAGCCCTGTTCCTTTCCTGATACTGTCTGCTGCAAACATTTTGGTCCTCCTTCAAAAGATAGCATGGAATACTTATCTGTGGGAGAGTACATTTTATGGGACAAAAATGTTCAAGTTTGCACTCACCTCAGCTCCTCTCTACCTTTAAAGACAGGGTTTGCAGGTCAAATTCGTGCAACCTCAGTCTTCAACATAGGTAGCTATTTTGTAAAGGGTATATTTTAAGATTAGCTATCAGCGCATGTTGGTAATAAATTAAGTTGTATGTGCATACAACAGATTGTGTGTCCTTCACAGTCCAATGAAACACAGGCCTCACTTTAATTTGTGTAGCATCTTCACTAACGATGTCGATTTAAGACATCCATTAAAGGCCCATAATGTTAATTAACTGGACTGTGCCAATAAAGTTCTATTAGCCTCCCCCTATTAAATTAATATGATAGGCATTTAACAGATGTCCTAATTAGATGTTACATCATAGAATGAGGTAAATTAGAATCAAGCCATTGTTCAAGGGGAACTTTGTGCTCTATGGAAAACTGATGCACACCGGGATGGGAAGCAACCTGAACGTCACAAGAGGAGGAAGATGGGCCCTTGCCGTTCAGGAAAGAGCTCCTGGGAGCTTGGTAGATGGCTCGCTGGTTGTACCATCTCAAGGCTGTATGGTGGTAGAATGAAGAAACTCAAGGTTAGCCAATTTAAGGCTTGGAAGAAGGCGGCATATGGCAAATCATAAGGTATCAAGTAAATGGAGTGTCATAGAAATGCAATAAATAATACATCTTCTTCATCATAAATCAAATGGAAACATGTGATTACCCAAGACAATGGCCAAGATGCCCCCCTTCCCCCAATCCATGCACAGAAGCTGATTGGCCAGCTTGGCTGTTAGATCTTACATCAGCATTCGGAGCAGAACGGCCTTGTCCTCTGGGGCTGGGAATGACAGCTAACCAACTCAGGGGACACCAGGTCCATTGTGTGTGTCCTCCCACCAGTGGTGCTGTGAAGACTTCTGAACGAAGGGCCGTCATCACACCCATCTCCAGCAGTGTGGACTGAATCACCAGACCAGAGCATCAGCGGGCCTCCATTGAAGGTGTTTCTTAATTTGCGCACGACACCATCACATACGTCACAATACCACAGGGAGCAATCTATCCTTGCTGAGAAAATGGTTGCTCTCACAGCTACTGTGAGGGTTGCAGTGGAACTCAGGGGGGACAGGGAATTCCAAGGAGGTGCAAGATGGCATTACCATCCATGCTGATGAGCTGTTGATCCTTTTTTCAGCATCCCTGCTGCTTGGCTAGGGATTTCCTCCAATATAAGGCGTGCTTGGCTAATTTGTAATTAACAGCAGTCAATCTGGCTACAGCTTCTCCTTTCCCCTTTGAGACTGCACTGCAGAGCAAGATACACGAGGTGTGTCCAGAAAGTAATGAGAAAGATATTTCAAAAAACATTTTATTGAAAACTTCTACAATTGAACATGGTCTCCTTCGAAGTATGCTCCCTGTGAGTGCACACAACGCTCCCAGCAATTTTTCCATTCTTCCATCACATCCCAGGAAGCCTTCAAGTGGGATGGGGTTCGGAGCCATGTGCTTTCGACTTCAGCGCTCATCAGCCCCAGACACATGGCCCATGGCAGGGGACTGCTGAAGATGACCTCCAAAGGAGTCAGGGTACCAGGTTCTGGGAGACAGGTAGCAGGTAGCACTGAATGAGCTCGGCATACCTGTTAGTTCTGTGCTCATATCATGCATGCATTTGGTATTTTGTACTTTAAATCTTGGTTGGTTGACCCCTCTTGGGTTAGCTCCAAATTTCATCATGGTTTGAGTCATTCCATTGATAGCAGTTGGACAGGTTAATCATGGCTGACTTATTTTTGGATTTATATCCTGCCTTTTTCCTACAAAGGGCTCAAGGCAGCTTACATCCTCCTCCTCCTCCATCTTATCCCCACAGCAACGACCCCGTGATGTAGGTTGGGCTGAGAGGCTGTGACTGGCCCAAAGTCACCCAGTGGGCTCCATGGCTGAGCGGGGACTCAAACCCAGATCGTCTCAGTGCCCTGCTCTTAACCACTACGCCACACTGTCCCATTGTTTGCAGCGGCGTGGCTAAGTCCAACCCTAACGTTAATATTTTAGCGATTTTAATAAACTGCTTATGGTTGAATAATTGAGGATGATAACTGGATGTTTATCCTACCTGCAATCTTGATACAGAATTCAATTAAGATTTCTGTTACAGAATCGCAACTTAAGCCGCACGGCTGATATCTGTGTTCTGAATTTTTCGCATAGTGCATAGTGAAACTCTGGGACTCCCCTGCGTATGATGCTGTGCCGGCCACCTCCTGAGGCAGCTTATCAGGGAGACCCGGCACTGCGTGGAGGACGGCGAGGGCTGCCAGTCGCAGCGGCTGAGCGTCCCAAGCCCTGCGGCCCTCGGGGTCATTTTCTGGGGAAAACTGGAGAGAGGCAGTCATGCTCTCTCGTCCCGCGGGTGGACTTCCCATGGGGCAATGGCCGGCCACGTGGGCACCGGACGCTGGACTCGACTGGCTGCATGGCACAGCCCTCTCCCCGCCCTCGCCGCGTGAGTGCTGGAAGTGCTTCTGGGAAACAGTGGCAGCCCATCGTCCTCCGGCCTCACCCAGGGGCTGCTGCCCGCTGGTGGGGTGCTCAGCTGGAAGAGCGAGACTGGCCCTTGAGCTGGTCCAGAAGGCCAGACGGCACCAGGGGCTGCCAAGGACCAACCAAGCAAAGCACTTCACAGATCAGGAGTATGCTGGATTTTGGCATCACCTCCGTGCCCCCATCTCTCAGACCTATCTCAAGGTGGGGCAGCTCCTCCAACTAATGTTTTATGCATGGGCCATTTTACTGCAAATAAATCACATGCTCAGCCTTGTCCTTATGTATAATTTCATCCCACTGAATGCCCTGTTATTCTCGTTCGTTTCAGTGTGAATGTGCATCCTGTTTTTTTATTATTATTTCAGTATAGTTAATCTTTGAAACACACATATACTCTTGAGAATTGTGCTGGGAACGGTGAGGGGGGGCACTCCTTCCCTTTCCTCACCACCAAGAGAAAACAATGGAGGAAACTTTGCATTACAAAGCCCCGAACGGTATTGCTTCTAAGAGTATCAAAAGAGTTATTTTCCATCCCAGTTTAAAGACAGAGGCAGCCGTTTGCGGTTCAGCAGCATGTCCTAGAAAACATGTGGGAAGTGCTCTCGTCTTAGCAGATGGGTTACATTTCCATAATCTTTTTCATTTTTTGGTAGTTGTTGATATTTTCAGTAGTAAACACCTGCCCATAAAACTATGAAAGAAGTCTTTCCCAGAATTTGGAGGGGGAAGTGAAAACAACACCATGCCTTTCCGGGTGATCACTCAAAAACTCAAAACCATCATAGTAATTCATGCAGTTTTGTAGACTAACCTGGCCTATAAAGCACCACCCTTCCAACCTGAGAATAGCGAGAGTCAACAGAGCACTGTACCTCAGACTTAAAATGAGAGGATTTTCTGTTAAATGTGTAATATTCTGAAGTGTTGTTCTGGAGTGAGCAAGAAGCAGGGGAGGTGCTTCCAAAACTCAAGGCAGCAGCATCTTTTTCTGTATGTGAACATCCGATTTAAAGTGTACTGCAATTAGGTAAGTAGGGAGAATAAAAATCGGATCCCCTCTCTCTGGAACTGGCCCACACTAGGAGGGAAAAACACCTAAGAACCCAGTGGGTGGCACCTTACAGGCTCATCCGCTTGTGGACTAGAAGCATGGGTGGAATAAATGCCACATTAAATATGTAACAAGTGCCACAAAACGCCATGTGGACAGGGGTGGAGAAAAGCAGGCAGAGGTCAGGCCGGGAGAATCTACTGAGTTTTTACTAGTACCCCAAGAGCCACCAGCCGGAACCTGGGGCCAATGCATAAATCAAAATCTCTTCGCTTTCTGGAAGAGCTTCTTCTAGCAGGTGAGCACCACCAGAACTTGAGAAGGTGGTGTGGCTGCTAGGACTGCACTGATGATGCCTGCACTGATGATAAGCTGGCCTTATGGAGGATGAAGGTATTGCTGGCTACTCGTCTTTTTTGTCAAGATCGGAGGAGGCGTCCCTGCAAGCAGCAGCAGGAAGGGAGATCCCACAGGCCAGCTTACAGAGCTCTTCACACCCAGTCCTAGCAGCTAGCCTGGTGACCTGTCATTTTGGAAACAGGTGTCTTTTGCTCGGTTAGTATCCCTGAGATCAGTAGGAGCACAAAAACCCCAGGTGAGTGCATTGCCCTGAGCTACGGGCATCCAATATCCCCTTGCAGCAGGTTGCATATGGCAGAACTGAAGGATACAGCCTCACCTGTGTCCTTCCAAAAGAGGCTACCCCTTTGCTAGCAATGCTGGGAAGAAAAGAGTCACCAACCATCCATGCCGTTTGCTCTGGCTTCCCTGTCAACTGCATTCATCCTGTTCGCACATCATGCTAAGGCAAAATTTTCCTTGCTTTTTGATTTTCCCTTCCTGGGAAATTCCAGCTTGCATCTCCTCCAACAGGCCAGTCAAAAAGTCTTGCTTTCCTGCTATAAAGACTTCTGATTTCCTGCTCTCTAGAGAAACTCCACGAGGTAGTCAGGTGAGTATGCAATCAGAACACACTCTCCTTCTGTGAAATCCTTAATTTAACGGGACAAAAATGATGAACAGAGTGGTGGCCACTGTTACCCTAGAAACAAAGAATGGAAGGAACAATTTTATTGAACAAGTTTAACAACATTGAGAACAAGGAATTATTTACAGAAAGTTTGAAATACAAGAAGAAATGCATACGAGGGTCTTCAAGTTTCCACACTTTTAAAAACTCTATTAATGAAGAATCTCAAAAACAAAGTACATCCCTTTTCACAGTCACCTTCATTCGCAATGCATTTTTATCATGTTGTACCAACTTTTTAATGCCATCAGCAATATATATATATATATATATATATATATATATATATATATATATATATAATATTTATAAAATATAAAAGTGTGGAAACTTTTTGAAGTCCCCTCATATTTTAGGTGGGATACATATCTGATTGCCATCATTTATCATATGTCTTCTGACATGCCCAACTCTGGCTTTAACTCTCTGCCTGTGATACGTTCTTAGGAATATACTTTCCACCCCTTGGAAATAAGGCATCAGTCCTGAACTTCTAGAAGAACTAAAGGTCCAGCGTCCCTCTTCCTTTGAACTTCTTCGCGGAACGCTCACTGGCGCGGAACTGAATCCTGCTTCCGTAGATGTAGGACACAAAGCCATCCGTCTCCATGCTGAAGACATTGTTTTGCTTCGGAATAACTGAAAAGAGAAGCCAAGAAGAACTCATTAACTCCTGCTGCTTAGCCTCCATAACAGGCTGGATCTTGGCTAAGCCACACCAACTGAAATCAGTCTCAAGAGTACCATCACTCCAGTTGGTTTCAGTGGGTCTGCTTTAGGCATGACTAGACCTCGATCTAACCGACAAAGTTCTGTGAAGAAATATTATATACACAGCACCTTCCTTGTACTTTAATTTATTATATTTATATCCCACCTTTTTTCCTTTCAAAGAACCCAAAGTGGCTCACATGATTCCCCACCACCTCCTCCCCGTCTTATCCTCACAACCACCACCTTGGCCCAAAGATCACCCTGGCCCCCCATCCCTAACCACTACCCCACCGTGCCTCTCAGTGCTTTGTTAAGCATGAGAGGTCAGCTCCCTGCCCTGAAGTGCTTACAATCAAGAGAGAGAGCACAGACAACAGAAGGCAGGGAGGGAAATAGAGGCAGTAGTGAAGAAAAGAATCTGTGCTTATTTCCATAACACGTGTATTTGCAGCAAGAGCTTAAGGTTACAATCCTATGCAATCTTAGACAGGAAAAGGTGCCTACAATTTCCAGCATGCCCCAACCGGTATAACTGGCTGGGAATGCTGGGAACTGAGGGCGATTTTGTTTTGTTAGTCTACTTTAGTTTTAAATACTGCCCACTAGCTGAAGCTCTCTAAGTAGTGTACAATAGTTGATGACATACAAGTATCTAAAACTGTAAAAACGTCATCAAATTTCACCATGACTTAAAATGAGATTTTAATCAAGAGATGCAAACAAGTTGCTCATCTTGTTTTGCTAACAGATTCTTAATCTTGCTAAAAGCAACCCCCTGTGCATTTACAGTTGGGAAATGCCTTGGCCAGGGGGAAGTCTCAACCCGGCACTGAAAAGTTAGCATTTTTTCCTGTCTAAACTTACATGGGATTGCAGGTTTGGTTACAGGCATTAGTGCAATTCTGCAAAGTGTTATGTTAAGGAATATAGCATTTTTTCCTAAGGCTGCTGAACCGAAAGACCACAGTGTGTAGCCCTCGATTTCACACAGGCAGTTCAGAGCGTCCCAAAGTCCTGGAGCACTAAATGGTCAGAGGGAGAGGACCCCTCCAGTCAGAGCACCTACAGTGACACTGCTCACAAAGGCTGCTGTGTCGGAAGAGGCAAAGACAGCGGCACAGGAGTACAAGGAATGTTCAGCAACATTCCCAGCCTGGTTGAACTGAGAGGCCACCAGCCAGGATGAAACCTTGGGTTTCATCCAGAGGCTTTTCTTTGGTAGAGACTCCTTGGTCTGTACTACGGACTGCAATGCGTTTTTGCTGGTATTGTGCATTCAACTTCATTTTTCTTATCAAAACCGCTGGCCCACGACTTTTAATGGGCAGTCTTCACAAATGCTTTCTGCGTTCCACAAACCGACAATGGAAAAGGAGATGCGATTCTTTCGGCGATGTAACGCGGCTCAAGGATGAAACCACTGCGATTAGGATGTGCTCCATGCGTACTTTTCAGCTTGTCTTCTTTCGTGATAATCTTGAAGACATGCTTCATCTCCTGTAGGATGATGCCCGTGAGGCCGACATAGGAGGGGCATTTGGATTTACTCACTATAAGCAAGAGACAAATGAAAGGAAGAAATATAACTGATGCCAGGCATTCAGTTTTAGCATGAGATAGTCAGAGAATCCACTGGCTGGGCAGATGCAATTGCGCACCTTGAGTGTGGTGGCACCTGGCTGTAGAAGGCCTCCCCAGCGACACTCACCTGGCACCTGCAGTCGTCTTTTTAGGGCCAGGGAAACGCCTGCCTCTTTTTCCAAGGTTTTAGGGTACTGTTTGATCCTGTCCTTCCACATGATGTTGTGCAAGGAGCAATTCGGTTCCAAACTAAGCACATTAGCAGAATCCCACTGAAGTCTGGGGTGCCAGAGGCGCTGTGCAATGCCAAGATGCGGCTCTGTCAGTGCTATCTGAGTTCCTGGAATGGCCCTGCCGGACTAGGGTCTTTCAGTTTTAAAAATCCCACGAGCGTGCTTTAGATCTCTGCATGTGCTTAAACGGCAGCGTAGGTGCCTTCCCAGTTCAGGCCTTGAAAAACTGTGGGTTGATAAACCACAGATAAGCTCTGAAATGGGATAAACAAGGGAGGGGGAAAAGGGGAGGGAGGCAGGCACTGCGCTTTTAGAAACAAAGAAACTGAATGAGTCAGAAGGGGCCTCCTGAGCCATCCAGTCTGACCTCCAGCTCCAGCCGGCTGACCGCATGACCTTATCAGAGCGAAGCAGCTACATCTCCTGGAGGTGGTTCACCGGTAGCAAGTAGGCCTGCTCCTTTCACTACAAGAACTTATATAAAACTACAGATGGGAAGCAAGATGAACTAGAACAGGCCTTCTCTCCTGTGTGACACAAAAGGGGGAATTGCTCTTGCATGCATATAGCAGCTAAAAACGAAACAGACTGTTCCCGTTTGCTTCTTATATGCAAACATGTCCCTGCTTGATCGATCGATCCCTTGCCTGACTGATCAGTGACAGACCATATCATTAACTTAGATTAATTTAATGAGGCAACATGCTACTTCCAACTTCTGAAAGAGGGCAGGTTGAAATACAGAAATGACCATGTGTAGGAAGAAAGCCGAAATACCTGTAACAAGAGCTCCATGAAAGTCAGCTTTTAGCAATTTGTTCTGAATCATCTGTGGTTGTCTAACAGAAAAATAAAGAAAATCAAAATTAACATGTCAAGACAACTTTGAAGATACAGGAAAGGCAGAATCCTACATGTGTTTAGACAGAAAAGGACCTGTACATTGTGGGCCTTTTCCCTGTTTAAACATGCACAAAATTCTGCCTTAAAATAATCACTCCAAGTTCTGAACAGGATTCTGTATGCACAGCATTTTAAAGGACAGATACTTCTACTGAAGAATGCTTACAGATAGTTGTTGTTGGTGGTGTGTGTGTGTGGGGGGGGGATCATTCAAAAAAAGGCTTACAACATCTAATAATTCTCCTCCCAAACTGGTACTCTCTGTGCACTTTGCATTTCCCCAACATCCCGTCTTTTAAGCTTTGTCCTCCAGGGATGTGACTTTGATCCATATGTTTCATTTATTCTTATTCATCATCATTTATAAAGGAACCAACATTTAGTATGCGCTGTGCAGAGATTAAACATAAGTCAGGCTTACTTGTTAACTGCTACATTATCCCAAAAGCACAACCATTTAGAGGCAGAAGGCATGATGAGAAAAATCGCACAGCAAAAGTTTCCCAGGACCAAACCATTTCAGATTAGAGGCACGAAATGTTAGCTCTGAATGCTCGCATTAAAAATAAATAAGTTCCTGCATATGAACCCTTCTCCCTAATATGCTAATATTCCACATATGCTGACTCTGATTTGGGAAAGTCTTCAAACACTCACAATACCCCACTCCCAATCCTTAATATGAAGTGGTACAGTCCTGGAAGGACAATTCCGTTTGGTTCCAATGGGAGATTTCCTGCTTGGAAACAGTATCCTGACTTGCTGAAGAATGCCATCTATCATCGGGGTATGTGTGAAAAGCAATCTAACAATTCAGCTGAATAAACTTACGCATCTGGTCTGAGTCCATTGCAGAGATCCCTGATGTACTGCTTCCATAGTTCGTGCAATGGCAGAAAGATTTCATATCTGCAGAACAAGGCATAAGAGCTTTTCTTTTCCAGAAGCAGCAATACGTCAAACAATCTATTCAACACGCGCTCTTTCAGATTGGAAATATTTTCCCTTCCAATTTAACTGCTTTACTAGTGGGACGTGACTAGCACAGAGATGAAAACCACAATAATATAAAATGCCGGAGAGTTCCATCACATCACAATACTCAGTCCTGCAAGGAAAACCTTCCTCTATGCGGGAGACAAAACTGAGAGCTCCCCTCAGAAGGCAAACAGGACCAAGGGCTTGTTGTAGCCGTGACTGTGCAAACATGTTCCTCAAAGCAGGAGCAAAGCCAGGACTTAACACGGTCTTGGAAAACAGGCTTTCCCACTGAGTCTAAGGCACTGTTCAGTGTGATTGTGCCAGCTTCCAGTTTGGATTGCCCACGCCATTAACGGATTTTTGATGGCAGTGTGGGAGAGACCTCAGCATGACAGCCCATCAACTCTGACAGTGACATCAGACCCTATCGGTCTTGAATGGATGCACATGTGCAGGTAAGGAGAGAGAGAGAGACAAGGACGGTATCGCTTTAACCCTGCATGTTGAAGTTCTTATCTTGTTCTTATATTTATATTCCACCTTTTTCCTGTCAAGGAACTCAAGGTGCTTACATAATTCTCCTCCTCCTCTTAGTCTTATCCTCACAACCACAACAATCCCGGGAGTTAGGTTGTGCTGCGAGACTATGACTGGCCCACGTGGTGCCCCAGCAGTCAGAATGTTGACTAGCAAACCCAGGTTCTCGTCCCCGCTCAGCCCTGAATCTCCGGTTAGGCCAGCCAGCAACTCTCAGTCTGACCTACTACACAGCGTTGTTGGGAGGATAAAATGGAGGCGGAGCACACAGGAGGCCCCTGCAAAGGAAGCCAATGGGCCAGCGATGGGCAGCTTAGCCCAACGGCCCTGGACAGACCAAGCACATCCCGTGGGACGGAAATGTTCACCACTGGGCTAGAGGAACACACATCTGACTCAGCATGGCAGAGGTGAAGCTTCATCTCGTCCTGCTTATTCCTACGCACCAGGCCAAATGGCAATCTGGTGCCCCCCGCAGGCTTTGGACTACAATTTCCAGGAATCTTGACCACCAACCATGCTGGCTGGGGGCTGATGGAAGTTGAATTCCAAACTATCTAGAACAGGGGAAGGCTAGAAAGAAGGATCCCTAGAAAGAAAAGGGTCACCAGTATTGTAAGTCCTGAGAAACTCTTCATTCTGTGCTTCTTTTCAGAAGCTTTTTGGGCACAGCTTTGAAGAATCTGCATAAAACCCCCTGTACTGCAGACTGGTAAAATGACCACCTGTCTGGTCTCTTGTAGTAAATAAAAGATCTCCCCCAGGCGACCACCACAACGTCTGGCAGTTCTTTCAGTTCATGTATGAATAAGCCTGAGTCCATGTACGTCACAGAACGGAGTGGCAGAAGCGATGATAAATACCACTTCAATCTGTGCCCTTTATTGAAAGCCTCACATGGTCCTGGCAAGCCAAGACCACACGACACAAGTTATTTAACTTATATAGTATTAGTCCAAGAGACTTTCTAAGCAGGTTACAGGAAAACAAAAACAAAAGTAAGAGCAAAATTTAAACATCTCATAGCAACAATAAAACAGACAAGCCTGAACAAACAACCGAACAGCATTCTCATATAGTATGGGGCAGTTTAAAATAGTTTCCCAAAGTTCTACACTACTTCCTGCCTGGAAAATAGAGGGCAACACATATTTTCCTGCTGAAGCATCAGATTTTCCGGATTTAGCCTCCAAGCAACTGGCTTTAACCCTCTCTGCACCATGTCTAGGTACATGTAATGTTATGTTAGTCGTGCCCGAGCCATATGTCATTAATTAATTCCAGGGGCCCTGTCGAATGCTACGCGACATAGCACTGGCAAGAACAAACCCATATGACCAGACTTCCTCCAGAATATTCTGTCCCTGATAGCCTTGCTCAGCACATGCAAGTTCAAGGGTGCGGCCTCCTGGATGGAATCAGGCCATCTGCTAGTCAGTCTTCCTCTTTCCTTCTGCCTTGGACTTTCCCCTAGCAGGACTGCCTTCCTTCCTGGGCCCAAAGCAGGACAACTCCGGTTTGCTTCCAGCTCTAGCCTATCTGCTCCAGGACCCTCTTGCCCGTCCTTCTGTTGATCCGTGTCCCTGGCTGTGGTCTGACATCAAACAGTCCTCCTATCCATCCCATCACAGGCATGTCAGCCCTACAAAGCACTCCTTGAGAGCAAGTTCAGAGTCTTCAGGACAAAGCGAACGTGATCACCTCCTCCCAACGAGCCATGTTAGCATAAAAAGATCACACGTTGCCCTCTAGCGGCAACAGACCATCCCAGAATTACTTGAAACGAGCAGCCTAGTGCCTGGAATATTCTGGGATGCTGTCTTGTGCAGGCCAGGCCAGGCCTGGGTTCTTGCAGGATCTACTTAATCTATTCTTTCCCTAGAATCCCGGAGACCATCAGCCAGTAGATTTGAGAAGATCTGCATCCCACCATGCAGGGGAAAAGACAAAAGCTTTCCACTGCTTCTTCTTTCCACAGACATTTTTTAACTCCTCACTTCTAAGACTGCACTGTTTTATATTCTTATTTTCATAAGGGAATGGATACAATACCAGTGGAGCTGAGCAGTTTCAAAGTTGTGATTGGCTTTTCTCTTTCTTTCTCGGAAATTCATTACTTGACAAGAACAGATCAAAACTTCTGTCCAACTTTACGTATTAAAAATAGAACCACACAACTCTTTTGGCATGCTAAAATTAGCATGATGGGCATTTTCAGAGCTGCCAACCCACCCAACTTTAAACAATGTAAGGAAAGTGTATACTTGTGAATGGTCCTGTCTTGGAAAATACGTAAGTAAGCCAATGAAAATAGCTTCCAAGTAGAATTCATCTGATTATTATAGATAACTCTCACCAAACACTCAAACCTTTGCGTGTTTAGCCAGAAAGACATCCGACAGCTTGAATGCTGAGGGCTGTTGGACTTATTTCTGCCTAAACATACCCAGAAATGGTGCACTATGTGCTCTCACTTTTATTTAAAATTTATTTATTTAAAACTTTTCTAAACTGTCCCATACTTAAAAGTTCAGGACGGTTTACTTTCCCCTCTCTAATCAAAACATTTGGCTGAAATAGTTTTGGCTATTAAAAAAACCCTACTGGCTAGTTTGGAAAAGATACCAATTCAGCAATTCCTGCAAGAGGCTTCTTGGAGATCAAATGCCAAGTATTCCCCCCCATTTCCAATTTTTCTCCTCAGTCCTTCATCCCCAAATGGGACAAATTCTACACCCTTTTACCTTTGCTGCTCTGGTTTAATCTCAAAGAGATGCATCGCTCTCCTCTGCTTGGCAGAGAGCCCTTTCTTCTTCTTCCTCCGCTGCTGCTGCTTTCTCTTCTTGTGGGAGTGTTCAAGGACAACTGCTTTTCGGGTGAAGTGATCCTGGATGGCTTCATCGCTCTTCTGAGGCAAGCTGCGCTTCAGGAACGCTTTTACGAAGGCCTCTGCCTCTCTGGATCCCTGGGGCTGCAAAAATGAATTCCTGGAGACATTGATGCTCAGCCAAGGATTGTGCAGGTATCACCAAAATGCCCTTGTATCCTGTCTTTTAGATCACTTTAACTTTTAAAATTCATGACCTTTAAAAATGCATAGCCATCATTTCTAGCCTACGTACTTTTCCATATCAATTTTTTGCCCTGAATATGTACAATGTATTTACATACATACACACACAATTTATGCTATGTTAGTTGTGAAGTTCTGTCTGACCCATCACAACCCGATGGACAAGATTCCTCCAGGCTACACACACTTACTAAATACCAAATTTCAGCTTTGCCAATCCTTACACAGCTAAAATAATAAATTCAAGCTGCGGCAACCCAGATTCAGGCTGGACATCAGGAAAAGTTTCCTCACTGTCAGAGCAACAGGACAGTGGAACCAGCTGCTCAGGGAGGTGGGGGGCTCTCCCTCACTGGAGACATTCCAATAGAACCTGGACAGCCACCTGAGTGGGATGGTGTGACTTGGTGTCTGCAACAGCCTTCATGGCCCCTTCCAACTCTACTGTTCTGAGATTCTATGACTCTACAAAAAGGGCACTGATCTGCAGACAAGAGAAAGATAGGAGCAGGCTTGGGAAAAGTTCAAAAGTTTGCAGCAGTACTGAAAAGGCTTAGAAAAAGATACCCTACAAAGGGGACATGCACCTAAAAATAGTTCATCTGAGACCTGACCATGCTCAACAGGCACAGAATGTAGCCTGGCTAATGAGGGAGAAAATGAAAATTGGGGTGCAGGAATGGAGTATCCTGAAAAAGGGTACGGATCGCTGGCTGGCAGCCCTGAACTTGAGAACTGCACACTGCAACATAGCACTGCAGGCTTGCATGTCCCCACAGGACTGCAGACAACATCCAAAGTTGCTGCGGGATGAAGAGTCGCAACTTGGTGGTCCGGCCCCTGCTTTCCTTGCAGGGCCCAGGTTCAATTCCTGGATGCTCCAAGGCTGAACTGGAAAAACGCCTGCCTGAAGCCCTGGAGATGGCTGCTAGTCAGAGTTGGTATCACTGGGTTGGATAAATCCAGGTGTCGACACAGTTTAAGGCCACTTCCTATGTTCCAAATGGCTATGGACACAATCCTCCGCATGGTGAGCCAGAAGAGAGTCCTACAACGTCCAGCAAACTTCCGGCTGCCATGCTTGCTTGGGAAGGCTGAGTGTTGCAGGACTGTTTTCTGTCTAAATATGTACAAGAGCGCATCCTGGGTGGGCCAGGAAATCTGTGAGCATACAAGTGCCATCTCTGCATGCACCGGTTCCTCTACGAACCTTGGCAAATTTTGCGCAAAAACATCGGGAAAGGGAGCTCCAGTAAGAAGACCGTTTCATCATCAAGTTTTGTGATTGCAAGCTTCCCCAATGCAAACCAGGATCTAAATCAAATCAGTAAAAGTCATAAGTTGGATCAGGAATCCAGAGGGAACCAGCATGTAGGCCTGGGAAGGACTAAGGTCTACCCTCCAGACTCAAACCTACTTCAGTTACCTGAGAATAAACCTCTTTGAATTCACAAGAAGACAGGTATAGAATTCTGCTATTAATTCTCTCCTTGAATACATGCTTTCTCCCATTCATTCTGTACCTTCCACAGACAAGCACACTTTGATTTCTCCACAGTAATACTTTTGATCCTCATTTATTTATTGCTTTCATATATGCTGGTCCACCAAACAGAAGTACCTGGATGTCAACGAGAGTTGCTGTTTGTTGAGGCAGCTGTTTGTATAACACATCTGGAAAACAAAGCGAGAGGTTTCCATACAAAACTCTGGCTGTACCCACATGGGTGTCTCCATCTTAAGCAGAAAATTCACAGACCTTGTGGCCAAAAGGATGGGAAATATAGAACTGTGTCATTCCGAAAAGCAGACTGGTCTAAAAATCCAGGCTGTTTACACATGGAAGACTATCCCAAAGCTGCACTTTATGCCATAGTTTTGATGCCAAACCATATTTATTTTATTTTTTTTATTTATTAAAACATTTTTATGCTGCCCCATTCGCCAAAGCCTCGGGGCGGCTTACAACAAGCCGCCTCCAAATTGGGAAATTTATTTGACTACAGCCCCCACTTGTTTCCAGCATAGCCAGCTTCTAAAAGAAATATATGACTTTTGTTGCCACATGAAGGCTATTTAAACAAACTAACCCCCAAACTGCAAACCCCATTGCTTGAACCAAAATCAGCCTTTTACAAACACTCCTATTGCAGACTAGATGGGTCCCAACTCTTTCCCCATTTGTTGGTGAGTTTTCTACTTTCTATAGGATGTTTAAGGATAGGCTGGACTAGCGGCAAGCGAGCGCCAGTCCCGGTCTTAAACCGCTTTGAAGGCAGTCACTCCGAATTATTCCATCCGGAGTAGAGCCGGGGTGCGGGGGGTCAAGTGCCCTGCCATCAGAAAGCGGAGGAACACGTCAATGCATGCAGAAACCGAGCTCCACCCCACTTGCCCAATGGGTAGAATGGGGTGCTCATGACGATCGCGAGCACAGAACCGGAGTCACCGGTTAAACAATCTGGAGCAAACAATCTGGAGCAAACCGATCAGATGCACGGCCGAAAGAACTGGGAGGGAGTGGAGGGAGCTGCATATTAAGGCCCCCCAAAGCACTTACGCTCCATCTTGCCCGGCGGCAGAGCAGGAAATGCAGCTCACGCCCCTTCGTCACACGAGGAATGAGGCGCGCATGCGTCCCCACTGCTCGCCGATAGGCTCAAAGGAAGAGAGAAGCCCACCAATAAAAGGGAGGCCGGGAGAGTGAGCGACTGTGTATCTGACTGTGATTGGCGGCGGAGGGAGGCGGGCGAGTCTGGAGAATAAAGGGCTGCCCCGTGGCGAGGCTGCTGTCACGTTGCCTCGGTCAGAGGCTCCTTTCCTTTAATCTGCATTTTATGGAGAAACGAAAATGGGTTGTGCATTTGCGGGAGGTCTTCCTTTGAAAGAATGCACTACCCCTGGCCTCACATTAAAAATGGGTTAAATCTCGAAAAAGCAGTCAACACCGGTTGTTTAGGAGAGGTACTTCCTCACACCGACATCAGAGCTTTGCAGCACGAAGTAAGAAATAGGGAGAGCTTCTGCTTTGTTTCTAGGGCTGGATTTCTCCACCGAACTATGGGCAGCAGCGCTTGTAAATCCACGAGGCAGTGGACTCAGGGAAGAGGGAGGAATAGTGTAAAAAAATCTCGGAAGTGTTGTCTGTAAACAACGGAGCTTTACCTCTTAGCAGTTGCTTGGCTTGCTTGCCTTCCCTGATAAACACAGCACCTGGCGCATGCGCGTTCACTGCAGTGAGGGACTTGAAGAACTGGCAAGGGAGCAGAGGAGCTCTTTCCTGCTTTACCCAGGCTGGTGCCTTCCTAGATGTTTTGGACTTCGACTCCCGTCACCCCCGGCCAGCTTAATCAGTGGTTCAGAATTCCAGGCGTTGTAGTCATAAGAATGCAAGAAATGCTGTGCAGGATCAAACTGAGGGTCCATCTAGTAGTCCAGCCTTGTGTCAACACAGTGGCCGACCAGTTGCATTTACACAGGTCAGATGCTCCGCAGCGACTTTTGCCTCTGATACGGAGGTTGCATAGAGATGTCAGGACAAGCAGCCGTGGCAAGCCTTCCCTCCACGAATTTCTCCAGTCCCCTTTTAAAGCCATTCAAATTGGTGGCCCTTCCTGCATCTCACGGAAATGAATTCCGTGACCACGTGCCGAGGAAGAAATCCTTTCCTTTCTCTGTCTTGATTCGGTCTCCCATCAACTTCACGGGAATGAGCCCAAGTTATGTTCTTATGGGAGAAGGGAAAAAAGGTCGCTCTTTCCCCCTTTTCTGCACCATGTGTAATTCCGTTTTCTCTTACACGGTCCTGTTTCGAAGCTGGTCACAGCAGTTGTAACCCTTCACACAGGGGAATTACTCCAATCACTTGTGTATTTACTATTCCAAGTATGATTGTATCATAGACGTCTATGGGCCCTCACGTCTGGAGGTTACCTGATTGTGGAATGCTAACGAGGCAGTTTCACAGTACAAACCTCTGGGAGATTAAAATCTAAATTGGACGTAGGTGTCATCCCGCAGCCCGACCCGACCTTTTAACAGAGCTTTAAAAAGAGCTTTACTGGGTCAAGCCAAAAGTTCACACTCAGTCTATGCCTATTTGCTCTGAAGTAACTCCCACTGCATTCAGCCAGGCTTGCTCCCAAGTTCACAGCTGCAGCACAAGAACCTGGCCTAAATTTTCTTTAAAAAATCAACACAATCCGCCAAGGCTTGTAGCCTTATAATGCAATCTTTGCCTCACCTCACTCAAGAGTAAATCCCATGGACTTTCTCCCAAGCAAATATGCATATCCATAGCTCAAATCCATTTTCCAGCTGATGCTTCTGGGAAGTTCTTACATGAGGCTTGAAGGCAGTAATTCCCTTTGCCGCACCATGTTTCCCCCCATGTCTGGAATTCACAGCTACGCTGCCTCGGAACTTGATTTGCCTGCACTGTTGTGGCCAATAGCCATTGGTGGACCTCCCTGCGGCAGGCTTGGCTCTCTGTTCTGCTCTGTATTTATTATCCGAGATTTCCCAGCTAAGCCAGAGGATGGCGGCAGCTCGGCAGTGCCATCAGAGTGGGTCAGGCAATTGCATCCAGAGGTCGGGGACTAAGGTCAGATGTTAAGGAATGGAATATTTATTGTTTAGTTATTTATAACCCACTCTCCGCACACATGCTTCTGGGAAGTCTGGAGCTCTCCTATGCCTGCTGGTACCTTCCTTTTGCATAGAGATGGTAATTTTGGGCTGACCCACTCCTGGAGACCAGATTTTGCTATTGTCTCCAGGATGCCGTGCAAGGTCCTTGGCTGCTGCTGGGGAAAAGGAAGTCGCATTTCTGCTGCCAGCAACTCACCCTCCACAGCGTCCCCCAAGTGGATCCCCTTCCATTCAAATTGCTTTAACCCTTCGACTAGACTCCCTCATTAGGCAAGGCATAATTTCGTGAATGAAAAATTGGGACAAGTGGAATGGGTCTTTGGAGCCATATGAGTGCTCCTTCATTGGATTTATGTTGCCATTTGTGAAGCATTTAAGGGATTAGCAGTCAAATAAGTGCTGGGGATACTGGGCTGTAAATCCAATGATCCAAGCTGTACTGGTACCCTGGGGGATACCAACCTCTTTCTGAAACCTCATACCTTCTTTTTTCCTTTTTAAAGATGAGACAGAATATATGCTATAAAGGGATGCAAGATTTCCTTTTTGTGCATTTCCTCGAGGGGAAGGGTTGGATGGAAGAAGGGGTGGAACATAGTTATGGGGTTGGTGAATGGCAGAGCATTGATGCAGTCTGGCATGCATGGTCTGTGTTTTGTCATGGATCGTCTCTGACCCACTGGCTCATTAGATCCATGGCTGGGAAGGTTAAGTTCAAAGCCCCACGGCATCCAGGCACATCTGAGGTGGGCAAGTTGAACAAGATTTATTTGTCCCCCTTGGTGTTCGGATCCCAGATCTTCTCTTTTTTTAATAAAGATTTTTATTAAGATTTTAAACTAAAAACTAAAAAAAAAATCAATCATCAAATACATCGGACATACTGGGTCAGCCCCCTATAACATATCTTTTAAACATTCTATAATCATATTCAAATCGATTTATAAAAATTTAAAGGCATCTTTAAATCTAAGCCAAGTCCCGTTTCTCCAGCCAATCATAAAAAAGGTCCCAAGTTTGATAGAAGTCAATATCTTCTTTCTCCTTCAGTAATAGAGTCAATCTGTCCATTTCTGCACAGTCCACAATCTTTTTTAAAATTAGTTCCTCAGTGGGTAATTCCTCACTCTTCCAGTATTGAGCAAGCGCAATCCTCGCCGCTGTGATTAAATGTAGCATCAAATACATTTCTTGTTTGCTAATATTTTCCGGTACAACACCTAACAAGAAAATTTCAGGTTTAAAAGCTAAGGGTTTTTGTAGCATTTCCTCAAGCCATTCTAACCACTACACTACACTGCACTACACTAACTCTCTGTTGATTACATTGGAAATGTTGTTTTCCAAGATGGAAAGCAACAGACAGCATCTGCCTTAAATAAAAGTCGACACTATTGGGTTTGCAGGCAGTTGGAGATGAAAGAGTTAATCCAAAAGCTTTCTGGAAATAGTAGGTTTTGAGGAGAGATTGGGAGGAAGTGAGAGAGATTAATTTTCAGTTGGGTATTATATTTTGCGGGTTTGATTGTTGTACCACTGCAGGCACGATTATCATCCCCTGTGCAGGTATGCAGATCTGAGAAAGCGGCGTGATGCTAAGCTAACCTGCAGAGCAGGTAGCGAATGGGGAAACCTGCAGCTACCAAGCACATCAGCGTTTCCGTGGCGCTTCCTCTTCGGGACTTTTCTTTGGAACTGCGCGTCAGGCTAAAGGAAGGCGCGCGAGTGGGTCACGTAGCGCTTCCCCCTGCGAGTGCGCATCGTTTCCACGCGTCTGAGCCTCCCTTCTCATGTTCCTTTTATGTGAAGTGAGCTTGCACGAGACTCGAGTTATGCTGTAGCCAAGGCATTTTTCCACTAGAGGGCAGCATACGACAAGAATTTAATGGGAGCCTTTTAAAATTCATGCATCCATATAACTCTGCTGCACCCCAAAAGCTATCCGTTGATTATGGATTGCAGAACCTCCACTGAAGACCAGGGACCTTATTATTCCATGTCTGGGAGTTGGTAGTGGGGAAGGCCAAGAGCAATTCAGTCTTTTATCTCCACACACACCTGCACACACCCACTCCAAAATGTACAGAAATGATCCAGATCTTTCTGGTTGTAGACATTAAATGCTTCCTTTGGGGACTCTCATTATTCTTACTGGAGGAACTCCAACCCTGAACCTACAAGCAACTGAAATATAATTCACTCACTCATTCATTGTATTTATGCCTTGCCTTTTTTCCTTCCAGGGAGCTCAAGGTGGTTTACATAATTCTCCTCTCATTCTTATCTTCACAACAACAACAACAACCCTGCGAGGTAGACTGGGCTGACAGTCTTTGATTGGCCCAGAGACTGCATGGCTGAGTGGGGGCTAGAACCCAGATCACCCGAGTCCCAGTCCTGTGCTCATAACCACAACCCCACACTGGCTCTTTATCAGCCCGGAAAACTTACAAATAACAGGACTGTCTCTTCCTTGAGGTATACAAGCTGAAAAACATGACACAAAAGGAAAAGGTATTGAGGAGGAGAAGGACTAAAGCAAACCCAGGCATGAATTCTTAATATCGAAGATCTTAGCGGTATTTCTTTGCCATGGAAGGCAAAAAAAGCTTTCTGCAATGGCTTTTTCTCTGACTGGAGTGTGCGGCAAGGTTCATCTTCTTGTCATGATATTTTTCTTGGGAAGCAAGTCTCCCAGTGGTGCTTGGCTGATGGATGACAATATAAAATATTGAAAATATAACAGTGAGGAAAGGCCCACATTCAAAATAGCTTCTCTGTCAAATGAGACCAGGAATTTGGTACTGAGCCTACTTTTTGCTAATGCTCTGGAATGAAATAGCTTTCCACCTACAATCTATGAAGACTTTATTTCTGTGTTCAAGGCTGGTACATATCCAGTGCACGGTGCCAGCTAAACATCCATCCGTCTTATTAATAGAGCCTCCACATTTTGACTGCAGTCCAGGCCAAGGG